CAGCTTTTGGACATGGTCTGTCTGGCTCTGGGCTTCCAGGTACATGTTCCAGGGGCAAACCCCAAGCATGATATCCCTCTTGGTAGCAGGGATACTGTAGTCTTATTTTCTTAGCCCTGAAACTAATGAAGGTCTTATGAACTTCTCTAGGACCTGTTGCACATTCCCATAGTGCCACAGAAGTCATGTGGTTTTCTATTTTACTCTGTGACCATATGATCATGTAACCAAGTGATGCACTGGATCTGCAAAGGAATTTCTAACCACAGACTAAATAGTTTACTCATAGAGATCACATGAGATACAGGCAACACAGCCGGCATACCTTAGTGTCCTTGCCACGCCCAGGGCCCTTTGGATTGCATCAATTTCTATTCAAGTCCCAGATGGACTTTCCCTTTCGGGCATGTTGCCAGCAGATGCAGGGAAGTGATTATTCCGCTCTATTCAGCACTGGGGAGGCCACATCTTCAGTACTGTGATCAGTTTTGGGCTCCCCACTACAGAAAGGATGTGGACAAATTGGAGAGAGTCCAGCAGAGGGTGACAAAAATGGTTGGGGGACTGGGGGACAGGACTTGTGAGGAGAGGCCAAGGGAACTGGGTTTATTTAGTCTAGAGAAGAGCAGACTGAGGGGGATTGAATAGCAGCCTTCAACTCCCTGCAGGGGGTTGCAAAGAGGATGGAGCTGGACTGTTCTCAGTGGGGGCAGATGACAGGACAAGGAGCAATGGGCTCACGTTGCAGCAAAGGAAGTTGAGGTTAGATGTTAGGAAGAATTTTCTCACTAGCAGGGTAGTAAAACACTGGAAAAGGCTCCCCAGAAAGGTGGTGCAATCTCCATCCTTGGAGGTTTTCAAGACTGGGCTAGACAAAGCTTTGGCTGGGATGATGTAGTTGGGGCTACTGCTAGTACTACTACTGCTACTACTATGAAAGGGGCTGGTCCTGCTTTACGCATGGGGTTGTACTCCTGACGTCCCTTCCAACCCTCATTTTCTGTGATTCTTGTCCGCCTGCCCAATCCTACCTGCTTCTGCTTCTGATTGCTTCTCTCCAAAGCAGCGGTCAGTTCCCTAGAGCCAGCCTCCAAAGACATTGGATCCGGCCTGTGATCTGGTGCACATTTTACTAAAAGCACTTTGATCCCCTGTTACAGCCTAGCCACTGGATCTACTCCATGGGTGCACAGTGGGTCCCTTCTAATCTCACCTTCCTGCGTTTGATCTAGATTCACACAGGCATGCCCTAAATCATCACAGCATGAATGCAGGAAGAAAAACAACAAATGTCATAAGACTCATACAATGACTCAAGTTAACAGCATGCCCTGAGCTTTAGTCAGTGCTGGCAGCTACTTCTGTACTGCAGGACTCTCAAGCTTGCTACGGCTATTGGAGTTGCATCAGTCTTAACTGCATTGGGAAATTCCCTTTCTTCCCTTCCTCCTTCCAGCAAATCACTGCAGGCAAAGCCCGTGATTGAAGAACTGAACTTCATGAGCTCTACAGACCTTCCTGATGCTTGGTCCACAGTTGCCTCATTTTTAATTTTTTTTAATGCCGGTTTTAGTCTTGAAGTCATTCAACAAGCTCCTGGCTCTCGAGGTTCAGAAATTTAATGTTGGAAAAAAAGGAACGGACCTTTAAAACATTATTCATGTTTCCTGGAGACCATCTAGGCAGTTTACAACCAATCCTACCCTTCCATCTATATGAAATAGATGCCATTACACAGGGCTATTGCATACAACTGGGTTGGAAGCACCACAGCAGTTTGTCAGAAGGAAACTAAGCCACCTGCCTAAAAAGCAGAACCCCCATGGATGAGCAGAAGGGGACATACAACTTGGCTCCTTATGTTCAGTGCTAAGCAGTTTCCAAAGTCATATTTTAGCCTTTTTGCAAATGTTGCAGTCTTGCTCAACATGTGTGTGTGTGTGTGTGTGTGCTCACGCGCGCGTGTATATGTTTGGAAAGATCAGCTTTTGGCAGTTCATCGTTTGGTCTGTCATCAGCTCACTTGGTGGAAGAGCTGGTGAAAGTGAAAGGAGCTTTCAAGAGGTGGGCCAACAGATGTGTCCATCTGTGTATGTGTTACGAATCCTGATAGGCTGGAGACTAAATGGTTCAGGAGATGGAAACTTGGTTCTGTCATTCTGCCTGTAAGCCCCTCATCTGAATCCAACCCATAATGGGATGGCTAAAAGTTGTTACTGTCTGACGGCTGCTTGGTGGTCCACATGGAACCAATTGGTTCATTACCTAGAGGGCAGCAAGCCAAACCACAAGGAGAGCCTCACACAAGTGCTAGCTATTACCAGCATTTGCGGAGTAAGCAGAAAAAAGAATCAGCTCTTTGTCTCTGCTGGCTGTGGTACCTGTTGGCTCTGGATTTAGGATCCAGATACCTTGTTCAGGGGGGCGGGGGAGGCACTCTCAGACCAACCATGACCTTTCCATTCAATAATAGGCAAATTTATTGATAACAGAAAAGAAACAATACAAACAATCAAGCCATTTTATTTATCTACCAAATCCTAGGGCTGTCATCAGAGTCCAAATACATCTGGCCAGGATGCAGCCTTCACTCTGAGGCTGTCTCTTCGGTGTCAGATGTCAGCAGTCTGGAGGTGGGAAGCTGAGGCCCACACCCCCCCTCCAGTGGGGTGGATGAGACGGGCTAGTGGTGTGCCCTCTGTCCATGATGACCTCGGGGACCCTTCCCAGGGGACAGGGAGGAGGGACGAGGAGGGAACCCAGGCAGAGGACGTGGAGAAACAAGGAGGTGGAATGGGGAGGGACCCTTTGCTGCTCCAAAGTCCTTCTTCTGTATTCTCCTTCCCCCCGATGACTCCTCATCCATGGCTATCACTGGTTGGTCTCTCTGTGTGGTTGTCACAGTCCACATAGCTTATCACGTGCACACATACTAATTTGGTCTTTCTGGGCCTTCTAATTTGGTTGCCACCTTATCTCGCGTTATGGGCAGTACGGTACATACTCCCTCTGTTTTCCAGACTGTGTGTCATTGTTGGCCTTGTTGCGTTAGACAGCTTATCTGCTTCCAAGGCTAGGTGAAAATGTATGACTGTGTGACCCGGACTCTAGAAATCAGTTAATCCCTGCTGCCCATCCTGAACCATTCTAATGCACATCTCTATACTTATAGGTCAATTCCCCAAAAACCAACCTTTAAATGCCATGCTTACGCCACCAGTACTTTCAGATCAGAGCTCAGGCACCCAGTGAAGGACGTTCACCCTGCTATTGTCCATAGAGGACCAGAGAAGCCTGAGAGCCTGTAGGATTGTCCGATCTGGTACCTTCCCCTTATACATCAATTCACTTTAAATAAAAACATAAATTAAAATGCACGCTGGGTGAAACAATCCTCATGACTATTCAGCCATTCCTCCCTTATCACTCAGTTGCTAGTACACACTACCAAAAATAACAACCGGGAATAACAACAACAATAAGTGAGGGTCAGGCAGGTGGCCAACAATGGGCGGCTCCATTCCTGAGATCCTAAATATAGAGCCGAGATAACCAGGATGATTTGGGTGTTTTCTTCTACTTCCTTCCCTGAGAAGCAGGTTCCCTTCCAAAAACTTACCCCAGCCTGTGTGGATGGGCTTTGATGCCAGAGGGCCCATTGAGGCGAAAACAAAAAGGTCCAAGCTGTGTTACAGCCTGGCTCTTTAGCAGTGGTTGCAGTCTGATCTGTACTGGGGCTCTGACAATCCAGGAATGCAGTTATAACAGGGCCTTTGCCCCTTTGCAGAGGCAAGTCCTAATTTGGTCAAAGCCAAAGCATGCTTGAAGGGACCCTTTTTTATCACAGCTTGGGTCCCCAGCCTGGCAGTTACATAGTAATGCAAAGCCCTTTGCTAAAGCAGGTGGACCCAGGTGTCTCCATCCTTCCAGCCTTAGCTAGGGCTCGTCCATATGCGCTTGCCTTCCCACAGCTCAGACCAGCCTAGGCAGCCTCTCCCAAGAGCTAATCATTAAAAAACCCTCTCCTGCTCCACCCAGACAGAGTGATTAAAGAGAAGGATTAGAGAATACACGTCCTTCTGGTTGGATTTTGTGCCCGCAGTTCTCTCAGTTTGCAGATACTGGAGCAATATGTGAATATGACTTTAGGGGGACAGACATCAGAAGCACCACAGAGCTGTTTTTGTGCACTGCCGTGGACTATGCAGACTGGATCTTTATTTAAACGCACCGTGTTCAATGCTGCTGCTCACAATCATATAAGGCAGCGTGCTCAGACCTGCTGCACAATCCCCAAGCACGTGGAGCTTCCCAGAAGCTCGCTGGCTTCCCCCTCCAAACTGACCCTGTTACAATGCCTGTTCCCACCTGCAGGTCTCTGCAGATTATTACAGAAGTCACTTGGGCCTATAGCCTTGATGGATCTTTTCTTGAAGGAATCGGTTCCCTAATCTCTACCCTTTTTAGTGGTGGCTTATAAAGATGCACTTTTCTCACGGCTTGGAGGAGTGTCTTTCCTTCGCTGGTTGGTCTGAAAACGGACCAGTTTTTCTGGTATGGCTGTGTAACCAGGTTTCTGCACGTCCTTCGCGAGATGGGTGGGGCCTGTGATTAGGGTGTTCACCTAGGATATGCACCTCCGAAGCTCTGGGGTTGATTTTTGGCTGTGCCGCCGACTTTGTGTATGGCCTTAGGTGAGTTTATTCATTTCTCTGGGCTTCACATTTCCGTATATGAAATGAAGCTAATCAAACCTTTGCCTGCTAAACTGTCAGCTCTTTGTAACAGGGATGGTCTCTTACTATGAGACCTGGCACAGTGAGGCCATCATCTGCCCTGGGGCCTCTGTGTACTATTATGATATAAATAACAATTACAATGTGACACCAGACACTGGGCATCATCTTCCTGCAGCATTACGTTTGCTGATCCAAGCGTATCAGTTGTCTTGCTTTGGGGCCTGCCCACTCTTTGCTCACCGCTCGCCTTTTGTTTTCCAGGGTGATGGAGAACTTCACCGTGCTGCACGCCTGGACCAAGAGCACCAACACCTCCTCCGCGGGCTGCGCCACGGACGAAAACCCCTACAAATGCAAATTTGACGAGGAGTTCAAGTACATCCTGCTGCCCGTCTCCTATGGCATCGTGTGTGTGGTGGGGCTGTGTCTCAACCTGCTGGCGCTCTACATCTTCCTCTTCAGGATCAAGACCTGGAACGCCTCCACCACCTACATGTTCAACCTGGCGGTGTCGGACACGCTGTACGTGGTCTCCTTGCCCCTGCTGGTGTATTACTATGCCAAGGGGGACAACTGGCCCTTCAGTGTGGGCTTGTGTAAAATAGTCCGTTTCCTGTTCTACACCAACCTCTACTGCAGCATCCTCTTCCTCCTTTGCATCAGTGCTCACCGCTTCATGGGCATCTGCTTCCCACTGAAGTCGCTGAAGTGGGGCCACGTCCGCTACGCCCGGAGGGTGTCGGGCATTGTCTGGCTGGTGATCATCATCTGCCAGTCACCGGTGCTGTTCTTTGTCACCACCTCCATGAAGTGCAACACGATTACCTGCCATGACACGTCAAGCAAGGAGCTCTTCGGCCAGTTCGTCATCTACAGCTCGGTGATGCTGGTGCTTCTTTTCTGCATCCCCTTTCTGATCATCATTGTGTCTTACTGCCTGATGGCACGGAAGCTGCTGCAGCCCACCCAGGGGACCTCCCGGATGTCCAAGTCTAAGAAGAAGTCTGTCAAGATGATCATCATTGTCTTGGTGGTCTTCATCGTCTGCTTCCTGCCTTTCCACATCACTCGCACCTTGTATTATTCCTTCCGGAGCTGGGACCTTGGCTGCAGCACCCTCAATGCCATTAACTTAGCCTACAAAGTGACCAGGCCACTAGCTAGTACCAACAGCTGCTTGGATCCCATTTTATACTTCTTGGCTGGACAAAGGTTCATGAAGTTCACAGGCAAGAAAACGCCAGCGAAAATGCAGAGGGCAGTGGCCCTGGAGAATGCTGCCAGCAGTAACATGGGCATCAGTGACAACACGAACATGATAGTCAAGGATGTAAAATCGTAGCCTTTTACATGCCTGTGCACTGCCCCGTCTCATGGAAGAGCACCCCGCTTCGTGGCGGCAGGGCTTCCCTGATGTGTGATGGGAGTCCTTGCATGCTGCCTTTCTGCCTTCCATTGCCTCCCCAGATGTCAGGAGTTGCTGGTGTCTTGTCTTCAACCCTGCTTCCACAGGCATGGTACTGAATGGGTACATCACCTCTGTAATGACTTTTTGCAACTATGGTGCTGCTGAGGTGGTCTATAATAATCCCATATGCAAACCTTCCTCCAGATCTATAGCTCAAACACTTCTCTTCCATCAGATTCACCCATCCTTTCACTACCAAATGAGGGCAAAAACCAGCTGTACCTGGCTGCTGTTGCAAAGTGAAGGAGCAGTCAAGACATTGTTTTGGCACATGAGGGCAAAAACCAGCTGTACCTGGCTGCTCTTGCAAAGTGAAGGAGCGGTCAAGACATTGTTTTGGCAGAGATCTTTTGTTTTATTTGATTTTCTGAAACAACCCTTTGATGCCACCCCCCCCCCTCCCCGCCCAAAAAAACCCCATCTCCTGAGGTTATCAGCATTTTCAGCCATGCTTTTATTGGGATGCTCATCAAGCCTTTTATTGAAACAGGCAAGAAGCCGGGGGGTGTTGGGTCATTGGAAATAGGCCGATAGTGAGTTTAATTGAAAAAGAAATGTCAGTGTAAATCTTAGCGCAGGAAATGGAAAGTGGGTCCCCAGGAAATGGAGACAACTTGGAAGCTGATCACAAAATTGTTTTCCCACTTTTCAGCCAGCGCCAGCTTGCTTACCGAGGTCATGTTTCCTTTGGTGCTAGGGCTGGGACAATTTGGGGCCCGTTCGGAGGGGTTGTGTCCAGCTAACGGAGTTTGCCTGAGTATCTCTGGCGTTTATACCAGCAAACTCATTTCAGCCAGTTCCTTGGACCAAATGAGCTAGGTCAGCAAAAGGGTCCTTCTGGGGCTACACTAGGACTGCTGCAGCCCGAGCTATGCTGCTAAAGGACCTTAGTTCCTCCCAGGCCTGACCAACAGAGCTGTGCTTGCAAAACTTGTAAGTACAGGTTAAGTTTGAGCCAATGTGATTTTGCCAGCAGGAAACCAAGGTTACCCAAGTCTTTTCCTCCCAGGTTAGTGTTTAGAATAAAAAAGGAACATAAATCACTTTAGGCAAAAATAACCCTGAACCACCCATATGCACCATGGGGTTGAAAAGGTGAGGAGCAAAGGGGTTGTTCCTCCTTTACTTCCTGAATATTCACTACTAGAGATCCCCTGCCCAGCCAGAAAGAGACAGATTGGATTTCACCTTTTATCCCCCCCAGGGTCTCCCTACCTAGGACACCCAAATCCTAATCTAGAGGCATCCAGAAATCCCCAATAATCCCAACCTGCTGTTCAGGATAATTACCTTGCAGACTGGCACTACTTGCAGACTGGCACTAAGATGAGCTGTTTTTAACGTTTACCCTTTCATTAAACATTGTGACTCCAACCCCCACAACAGTTTATATACACCCCACTCCAGCCCTTGGTCTGAGGATCAAGCAGACTTTTTGAAGGCATTTGGGTTAGCCCAGTGCCCTCTTCAAGAGAACCATGTTATTCAGGTGCCAGAGCAGGAGCGGTGCTGACTGGAAGATTTTATTTTTGTTTTAAACCTACTAACTTATACTGAAAAAAAGAAAGTACATGTGTATGTTCACACTTGGGGTGACACTGCACACTTTTATTTTTGTAATATGCAACAATCTCATGTTTCTTATGGTAAATATAGAAATATTTCTATTGTTTGTATTTTTCTGCCATCTGTTCAAGTCGGGTGCAGCGTACGGAAAGGTGGCAAGGTGGGGAGGAGAGCCTGGCAAACCTGTTGCGCCGGTTCGTATCTCAGAAAAGGTTTTCCCCTCCTGGCATAGAAACATCCTGATCTGTAAAAGTCATCTGAGATCTGTGAGAAATAAGTTTTCCAGCCGGATGTCTGATTTTGTAGTTTTATCAGTCTCCACTTGCCGCCCACGACCGATTTATCTGGGGGATTCGAAGAGACCCAAGTCACTGAGAAATCACAACGCTGGCAAAGTGACTTTGAATTTTGCTGGCATCAGGACCAGCCCTTTGGGTTGGGTAGGAGTGGTGGGCCCAAGACAAAACCCAGGCATTTGTGTATGGAGGGAAGGGAGGCAGAGGGGCTGGTATCCAGGTTTGGCAGTGGCTCTTGTCTTTCTCACCTGATCAAACCAAATCCCCAATCCCTGCCATTTAAAGCCTTCATCCTGCAAATATCTCAGTGCAAGCCTAGCCCTGCAAGCCTGCAGAGCTCCCATGGAGTCAACGGCTGTCTGTGCAATGGCAGGGGTCTGCCCACGCTGAGCCTGTTGCATGACTAGGACACATTCGTGGCAGGTTCCTGCTACTCTAATGAGCCAAACAGGAACCTCAGCTCTGATTTCCTCTCCAACACCGAGAAGTCCAGCTCTGGAGATGAGCCCAGCATCCCAGCTCCACCTCCAGTTGACATACACCCCACTCCAGAATCTGATCTCAGGGTCAAGCAGACTTTCTGGAAGGAGCTGGGTTGGTCCAGAGGCTTCTTGCTGCATTTAGGCACCCTTAAGGCTAGCCAGAAAAAGGATGCACAGAGGGACATGACAATAAAAAGATCATAGCTGGTGGGTGAAAGTCAGTCAAACAATTTCAGGTGTCGGTAAGGGCTGGGGCTTGGGGAAAGGTTGGGGTCAGGTGTGTAGAGTCCTGGACATAAGCAGAGCAGCAAATCTCATATTTTGGTGGTGCTTTGGGGTGTCCGAGTGGGAGGTCCATTAGCACCAGTTATTAGCTGGGTGTTTTATCAACTTAGCTACACAAATGAACGATGCAGTGGATGCAGTGGGAAGTTGGGCTAATTCTCACAAGTCTAGCACAAGTCCCGCAGTATTTCGCCTGGATTGAAACGCTTGCTTTTCAGAGATTCAGTCTCAAGCCAGGATGGACCATCAGAGTGTCCACACTGACCTCCTCTGAAACACCAGCCTCGTGTTTCCCTCACTTTCCCTTGTATTAGTCCCGTGACCTCCAGAGAGGCATCCCGCATTGACTGGAAGACATCAAGAGAAGGAGACTTGACTCTTCCTCTGGGTAGTTTGCACCAATGGTCAATTCCCCTTTCTTTCCCATCTTCACTGATTCCAGCGTCTAGCCACTGACTTGTCACACCTTTTTCCACTAAACCAGAGACATCCTAAACGTATGGTGTTTTCTCCCCATACACTATGATCAAGTCACCTCTGAACCATCTTTTCAATAAATTAAGCAGACTGAATTCTTTTCATCCAACCTTTCCTAACCTCCCCCTGCCCCTAAGCAATTTTCTCCAGCCCTTGAATTATTTCTGTGGCTTTTTTCTGCCCCCCCTTCTGCTTTTCAGCATTTTTCTAAAGGGTGGATGCCAGAACCAGAAGTGTAGCAGGGCAGCTCTGCACCCGGGCGCCACGATGCACGGGGCAGTTCCAGGTGTTGCGGCACCTGAAGCAGCAGCACAATCACCTACCACTGCGGTAGTCGCGGTGTTCGTAGTGCCAGGACCCACGCAGGGCTGGAGCTTCTCAGTCGCCCCCGCTCAGTTATGTTGCCCACCATAACTCTGCTCTCTCTGCCAGCATCAGCTTCACAGATGACTTTTGGAGTCTCAGGATGATGGCAAAACCTCAGCTTCCCCTTTCATTTGGAAAAGAAGAAAATTTCTAAGCCTTGTCCTTGCAGGAAAGGACGTGAAAATATGAACCCCACAGGCTGTGACCCCTGAAGCGAGCAAGCAAAGACCATGGCATTTATTCTCTAGGGCTAATGTCATGATCTGGTGGGGTCTGACTCACGGTTGCTCACCACTTGGGACTTCTGGTGCTGCCCAGCCCTGTATTGTTTAACGTGCTGTAACACTCGTTATCTCTATGTGGCCCCGCAGTGCTGGAGACATCGGTCCCAAAAATACATCGTGGCTTGGCACAAATTCCCAAGGGGTCAGAGGGAAGTTTTGGCAGCTGCACTTAGAGATTTGGGGTGGGAAAGGGTGGAGCAGTGAAAGCAGTTTCAATAGGGAGGTAAGGAAATGGGTTGGATTTCTACTCAAGCTGTCTTCAGTGTTATCACTGAAGGTGTTAATATTTCAGGAGACATGATTAGGTTCCAGAGTTAACACCGGGCACCTGATGCTTTCCAGAGCTATCATTTCAGACGGCCTCGAGTCCAGAAGTGACACACATGTTGGTTATACCCAATTCACATTTGGAAGTTTTTCCTGCACAACAAAGCGTTTCATTGTCTTGTCTACATCAGGTATTATACTGGTATAGCTAAGGTTGTACAACCCTCCTGGTGTGGATACACCTCTTTGGCATATACAGAAACTTCATACGGATATAGCTATTGTATGAGCCCTGTTACACAGGTATAAATATAAGGCCTCTTTATACACGTATAAATGACTCCAAGGTAGGGCTTGCATTGGGCTGACTACAGTGGCAGCACAGTCACACCCTTTACTGAAGTAGTTACGCCATTTCAAAGACCCGCTCAAGCTCAAAATTTGCCCCAGTTGAGATGAAGGGTGTGTTTACACAGGGAAATGGCCCAGAACAGTAACTCCACATTAGCTGCCTGTATGACATGCTTCATCTGCGCTTTGAAGGTGGATTGAACTAATCCTTAGAGACATTGTTAGTGGTTCTACATAGATGCCCTTGCAATTCCCCCAGTCGAAGAGCACTCAAGGTACGCCATACAAGCCTTTCTCCAACTGAATGGAGGAGCACACCGGGGAGCTGCCCGATGTAACACAGTCAGCCCCACCTTGTTAAATCAGTGCAGATGGGGCCCTGCAAGCGGACGCTTAGCTAGTTCAAACAGGGCTCGGTAGCCCCTGGGGAAGGAAGACACGTCTTCTCCCACCTGCCGAGGGCCTGGCTTTTTCATCCAAAGCGGCAGCGCTCAGATCCAGCTGCGCAAGTGCGCATTAGGGAGCAAGCGCTTCCCTTGCAGACCTGCGGACTACATCAAGTCAAGAATGTCACAGAATTTCACTTCTGCAGAAGTTTGCAGGGGTTTGACTTTGTACCCTGCTCAGGGACCCACCACGCTGATAGTCTTTTGTGGAATTGAATTGCACTTTCCTGGCCAGGCCTAGTGGACACATTTGTATGTGGACCCTCTACAAACCTCGGTAGGTCCCCCCAGGGCTCAGCAGCCAGTGGACAGCACTATTCATGGAGTATCCTAACTCAGAGAACAATGGGCAAAGCTTGAGATGAGAGGCAATCAATACATTTCAGTTCAATACTCTGCAGGACTGGGCTATATTGGGATGAGGCATGTCAGTGGTATAATCAA